TAAACTGGCGTGCCAATATAGGATTTACCTAAGATTTTTTAAAAATTAGCATCTTTGATTTAATGGATAATTAATTAAATCGTAGATATAATTCAACTGCTTAAATGAGGCCATAAGCGAAAATAAACATTTCTAAATCAGTACCACATAAAACGTGCTATGGTTCGAGATGTACAGTAGGAGGAAGAGGTATTAAATGTTGTTGAAGATTACCCAACAACAAGTATCCGCCGTATATCTGCCCATGTTGGTTTAGTTCAGGGTAATGAGTTTACAATTTCAGTTGAACAACAATAATTATACCCGTACCATTTTACTTAAGTCCAAAAACTAATGCCACGTAGTGAAGCCGCGAGTCGTCTTAGGGCGAGAGAAAATCTGCTCTATCACGATTTTGTCTTTTGACTTTTCTAATTAAAGATTAAAAATAATGTAGGTATTTACTTTAAAAAATTTTTAATAATTTGTTAAAAAGTAATATGTAAGATCTAAATTTTAAATTTAATGTTAACAATATAATATCAAATCGATTTTACTAATAAAATGGACATTACATTAATCAAAATAGAAATTAGACGTGGTACACGTTTATTTTATTTATTTATTTATTTATTTATAATACAATACTCTACAGGTCATAAACCCAATTACAGAGCAGGAATTGACAGACGTTAATTATTAATAAATCACACATTTTTTTATATGAATGTTAAGCACATAAAAAGAACTTTTATTTCGTAATAGGTAACAAATTAATAAATTAACTCAGATAAAAAGTGGGATTTTAAATCTGAAAAATTGCAACTAAATATATCAAGTTCATTGACAATAGAATTTGTCACTATACACATGGTATGGAGCGGAGAATTTGGGTGTATCGAAGAAATTCTGGGAATGCAAATATTAAACTTTCTTAATAAGGTTGGGCAGTTAATATTACTTTTGTTAATTTTATAAGTTACTACTACACTATAATAATCACGCCTTCTTTCGAGACTGAAAAAGTTATGCTTTTGTAGTAATTCAGAGTGAGGGGTACCTCGTCTTTGAATTGCTTCTATTCGATCTATATGATACTGATAAACGGGGCTCCACACGACTGAAGCATATTCTAATTTTAATCTTATAAAAGCATAAAATAGAGTTTTTAGGGTAGAGGTTTCTTTAAAATTACTACTGCTACGTGCAATTAATCCATACATGCGATAGGAGGAGGATACAACATTATCAATGTACTTATTAAATGATAGTGCAATGTCAGACGTGACGCCAAGATCAGTAAATGTTTTCAGTCGCTCAAGGGCAACGTTTTCTATTGAATAATTAAAGATTAGGATATTTGCTTTTAAACTGTATGACATAACTTTATATTTATTCGGGTTTGGTGACAAGTTAACAAACCGTGTTAAGTTTGCTAAGAGGTTCTCGCAATCACCTATCTTCTCCACGAGGCAGTATAGTTTTAGATCATCAGCATACAAAAGGAAATTTAAATTTATAACATCTGCAATATTGTTAATGAACATAATAAAAAGAAGCGGTTCCAGATTCGACCCTTGTGGAACACCAGAAGAATCACTATATTCAGCAGACCTAAAACCATTGAGCTGGACATATTGCTTTCGATCCCATAAATAGGATTAAAACAGTGAAATTAAAGAGAGAGATTATCCAAGCTACAAGTTTGTTGAGCAGAATGCCATAATCAAGTCTGTCGAAGGCCTTAGAAAAGTATGTGTAAATAACATCAGTTTGGGCTCTGTTGTCAATAGATTCAGCAATATATTGGGTAACGGTCAGAAGGATGGTGATTGTTGAACGACTTTTTACGAAACCATGGTAATTTATACCTATATTACAACTTACATGATGACATATAACTCGCTCTAACAGGATTTCAAAAACCTTTGCAAAGTTTCATATAATAGAGAGAGGTCGATGATTTGAAATATCTCATCTATCTCCTTGCTTGAAAATGGGACAGACTTTTCAGGATTTTCAGATCTCTGGTATTGTAGCCGATTTTAAATAAATATTAATTAGTATGGAGAGAGGACGAGCAAGCACAGTACAATCTTTTAGGACAAAAGCTGGAATATCGTCTGATCCGGTGATATTTTTTGGCTTAAGTTATCTTAGTGCCTCATATACTTCCTTTTCACTGAAGCTTGTAATATTTAAAAAGTGTTTTTTATTATTATTTGTCCCAGAATTGGGTTGAAAAGAGGAAAAAATAGTATAGGACTCTTTAAAAAGATTTGCAAAACCGTTTAGAATATTACAAGGCCCCTCCAGCATTTGACCTTAAAAATTCAATATTTGTGATATTTTAGTTTATTATTTATAAATGACCAAAATCTGTTGGGGTTGTTATGTATTTCTTCCTCAGTTTTGCCTAAAAATGTCTTGTATGCAACATCAACATTATGCTTTAATTTCGCCCTAAGGTGTTTAAAATCATCAAAGGCCTGTAAATTACTTTCACGCTTGTATTTGCGCCAAATTCTACTTTTAGCCTGTAATCTTTAATAATGCTACCATTATATCAAGAAGGATATCTATTTTGGGATTTACATGTATACTTGAGACAGCAACGATCGAAAACATTATGAAGTTTGCCATAGAAATATGTGAATGCATCTTCTGAATTATCAAAAGATTCCAAGAAGGTCTAGTCAATAAAACATATTTGTTCATACATTTATCGAAAGTTGGCTCTGTTGAAGTTATAACTGTTCTGAAAACAGTATTGCAATTTACTTTTAAAGTAAGCTTCTATCTCTAGTATGCAAGTAATATCCAAAACAGGATGATCTCTATATTCGGTTACAAATAGATCCAGTGACTTCTCCACATGACATTCTCTATTAAAAAAAAACAGGCCAAGGTGTTTATTAAGGTTATTAAATAAAAAATTATTTTGAAAAAGATCAAAAATTTGTGAAAAATTATTAAGAGTAGTGATTTTCCTATTAGTTGCATTATTATCCAGATAGTTAGAATATTCGTTAACATTAAAGTCTCCTACAACGAGAACTGCATTATTATGTAATATATGCAACAATGCCAGGGCTTCAAAAAATTGTTCAAACACAGTTAGTGGAGCTTGAGGAGGTATGTAAATATTTAACAAATTAATATATTTATATGAAAAGATTATTTTAACAACTATGATATCAATCAATTTAAGCTGAGGAAAGTTAAAATCAGATAGATTAATTTCTACGGAAACACCTCCACCTCTGGTTAAAGCAATCTGTTCAAAATTACGATTCATCCTGTATATGTTAAAATTATCCGGAAATAAATTGTTAATGGATGAGTCAAGCCAGGTCTCCGTTAACGCAAAAACACGATAGTTGCTCTGAATTAAAGAATTTAGAATCTGGCTAGTTTTGTACAGAAAGTAGATTTTTCCACACGCATGTGATCGTAGGAAAAAATATGATTTAATTCTTGGGAAGTCTTTTGAAAACTGGGTATTGGCATCTAGGATTTATGCAACACGATTTCTCGTTAAAGAACATTTCAGGAAATAAGTTTTTGAAAGACTTGCAAGAATATTTCGTAAAACTGGCACTGTTGCTTATAAAAAGCGTATCATAAAGAAGTCTACAACGGATAACGAACTTAATCAACAAAATGTCATCGACAGTCCTAACACTAGCACAAGAACTATGACAAAACCGATTTAAGTTAAACAAGTGTTTGAAAAATGTCTTAATTTTATCATACTGTTTAAATTTAGATGCATCAAACTTTGCCTAGGGTTTAAAAAAATGGGGGAAGATGAGCAATTTTTGGATTAAATATTTTTTTCTTGTAAATCTGCTTTTTATGATAACGGATTTCTGAATACACAAACTTGTTGAGACAACCCTGTATACGAATTGTTTAATTAAGATTTCGTCAAAGGGCCGTATTTAGACTTTTGATAAATAATTGGTTTAAAAGTTACGAAAGTATCAAAACAGAAATTATTAAGAATTCTTTCACTGTCATGGTCAAAGTTTCATAACTATACATTTAATTTAAAAGCCAAAAACAACATCATCATCACCCGTTAACTATTTACAATTTCACTCTCAACAAGTTTTTATACCTTACCTATACTATAAAATAATAATTATAATTATTACTGAAAAGGTATTAAAATGTTAGTAATTCTATTAAATTATAAGTGCTCCCATTTTATATAAGCACCTATAATTAATAATGATACCTACATAAGTGAAACATTCTGTTTCGTTTTACTTAATTAAATTTTTATTAAAATGATTATACTAGGAGTTGAAGGCGAATGTTATTGTTGAGTCTCAAAGCTTGACACAGTCGAGACATTAGCTGAGGATGTGCAAATATAAAGATCCGTCTACTCTGATAAAGAATTACTATTTTTCAATATTAAAAAAAAAAACAATATCAAATATTGTCCAAAAAATGAGAGATTTGAAAAATTACGTCACTTAAGATTTTCTGTAAAGGTCGCTGGCTGCTTCGCAAAAAAACTATACATAAAAAATAGCTTAACCAATTTACCTAACCTGTACGGCCTAAAGCCATTTCAAGAATTAAAATCGGTAAATTGGTTATCAGTGATCTAACTATCGATCAAGTGGCCTGTCGGTAAAATGTTTTGTCGGTATATTGCCCTGTCGGTGAGGTGTCCGTCGGTTATTTATCTTGACGGTCAACTGTCCTGTCGGTTAATTGTCCTGTCGCGATATTATCCTGGCGGTCAATTGTCCTGTCAGTAAATCTTCTTGTCCGTCAATTGCCCTGGCGTTCAATTGGGTTAAGGCAAATGGGTCATTCAATTATTGTACGAATATCACTGTTACATAATTTAGGAATTATCAGTCGACTTATCAGTCAAGATTTATCAGTCAAGATTTATCAGTCAAGATTTATCAGTCAAGATTTATCAGTCAAGATTTATCAGTCAAGATTTATCAGTCAAGATTTATCAGTCAAGATTTATCAGTCAATATTTATCAGTCATGATTTATCAGTCAAGATTTATCAGTCAAGATTTATTAGTCAAGATTTATCAGTCAAGATTTATCAGTCAAGATTTATCAGTCAAGATTTATCAGTCAAGATTTATCAGTCAAGATTTATCAGTCAAGATTTATCAATCAAGATTTATCAGTCAAGATTTATCAGTTAAGATTTATCAATCAAGATTTATCAGTCAAGATTTATCAGTCAAGATTTATCAGTCAAGATTTATCAGTCAAGATTTATCAGTCAAGATTTATCAGTCAAGATTTATCAGTCAAGATTTATCAGTCAAGATTTATCAGTCAAGATTTATCAGTAAAGATTTATCAGTCAAGATTTATCAGTCAAGATTTATCAGTCAAGATTTATCAGTCAAGATTTATCAGTCAAGATTTATCAGTCAAGATTTATCAGTCAAGATTTATCAGTCAAGATTTATCAGTCAAGATTTATCAGTCAAGATTTATCTGTCAAGATTTATCAGTCAAGATTTATCAGTCAAGATTTATCAGTCAAGATTTATCAGTCAAGATTTATCAGTCAAGATTTATCAGTCAAGATTTATCAGTCAAGATTTATCAGTCAAGATTTATCAGTCAAGATTTATCAATCAAGATTTATCAGTCAAGATTTATCAGTCAAGATTTATCAATCAAGATTTATCAGTCAAGATTTATCAGTCAAGATTTATCAGTCAAGATTTATCAGTCAAGATTTATCAGTCAAGATTTATCAGTCAAGATTTATCAGTCAAGATTTATCAGTAAAGATTTCAGTCAAGATTTATCAGTCAAGATTTATCAGTCAAGATTTATCAGTCAAGATTTATCAGTCAAGATTTATCAGTCAAGATTTATCAGTCAAGATTTATCAGTCAAGATTTATCAGTCAAGATTTATCAGTCAAGATTTATCAGTCAAGATTTATCAGTCAAGATTTATCAGTCAAGATTTATCAGTCAACATTTATCAGTCAACATTTATCAGTCAAGATTTATCAGTCAAGATTTATCAGTGAAGATTTATTAGTAATTTTTCAGTGAATATTTTTTAGTGAAGATTTATCAGTAAAGATTTATCAGTGAAAATTTATCAGTGAAAATTTAGCAGTGATAATTTAGCAGTGATAATTTATCAGTGATAATTTGACGTGAATAACTTAACGTTTAATGTAAAAGTTGTAGACGAAGCAAAAATCTACAGCATTTGTAGAAGTCACTTTTTAACGTAACCTCAAAATTTTCGCTAAAAATGCAAAAGTTCGTTTGAATTTTTTTTTTCGATTTTAATTTTTCCTTTTTCCAAAAATACTTTAATTTTGATGAAATTTGGTGAAATTATACATTTGTGTCTTTTAAATAAGCAAAAAAAAAAATTAAATAAAAAACTTCAAAAAGTTTAGAAATATTCATTGTTTTCGGTCAAAAACACTTTTTATTTTTTAAAGAAATTCTACGATGAAAAATTATCATACAATGTTCTCCAGGTACTCATTTTTTCGTTTTGACATGTAGTTTTTGATAAAAATAGGCACCATTAAAAACATGCTCAAAAATGGATAAAAACAAAAAATGACAATAACAACAATGAATTATTCCGTAATTATTGATATAATTTGTTTCAATTAAAAAACTAAAATACCGATTCTAATAATGGGTGGCTGCTAAAGATGGAACCAAACATCTGTTGCTTATACGTTCGACATAGAAATATAAAAAAATTCAGTCATTAAAGGAGGGGGCACGTTTTAAATGTAAAATACCCTTTGGTCAGAATTTAGCCAAGTTTTGATATGTTGTAGAACTTGACCTATGGATCAAATATCTATGTTGCCCAAAAGCTCTAAGTTTAACGGTTTTTGTCCAAATTCACTATTTCATAATTTCACATTATCATAAAATTCATATTTTGATCACACAAATTAGTGAAACCTTTTTTTTTTTTTCGTAGAACTTACTACAATTATTCTCCATTTGCTTTCATAATTTTTGTACAAGCCTATCAAATTGCCACTTAAAAAAATGAAGCTTGTAGCGACGTTAACAACCTGCAGGACTTAGTCATTCTGAGAAAAATGATGACTGTAGTCTGTAGACTCCTCTCAGCGTCGACCAGCAGGTTTTTGATGAGTTAATAACCTGCAGGACTTTGATTATATAAGAAGAAGGATAGTTGTAGTCTGTAGATATCTCTTAGCGTCAAACAGCAGGTTTTTGACGGGTTGATGACCTGCAGGACTTTGATAAGCTATTAAGATGCGACTATCTCTAGACATCTCTCAGCGACAACCAGCAGGTTTTGAAAAGTTGAAAGGCAGATTCTATATACCCCTATAGGATACACAATGGTCCTTATGAAACTTAAGTGTTATGGAAGTTTCCACCTTCCCCGCCTTAGAGATACAGATACTTTATATTGTTTATTGAAACTAGTGTAGGATGTTGCTATGAAAATAGAATGTCCATTTTGTCAAAAAATATTGTGGTCCTATTTATAAAATGGCAGCAATTTATAAAATTCATTTTATTCAGTAATCAAGAAAATTTTGTTCTGTATAATTAGTAATAAATTTTTATTAAAATAATCAGTGTTTTTTTATGTTTTATGGCTTAGATATTCATAATATGTCTCAGTTAGTGATTTTATTTTTATTAATATGGGTTTTGTGTAGGCTTTGTTACTGTTTCCCTGTTATAAAATTGTTTAGATCTCTTAATATTATTTGACGATATAGAAACTTACCTTTACAACACAACAAAAATATATGTTTATGTTTGTCTTTAATATCTGTTGGTTTATTTTTATTTTGGTTTTTTGTTTTATGTTTTGCATCAAAAATATAAAAGCAAATGTTTTTTTATTTTTTGACTGGACTTTTTATTTTTGTATAGAGTTATTGGGACTTTAACTGGAACTAATTCGCTAGAGCCGCAAGATAAAATATTTGAATAAAACGGTCAAACAGGTGGATTGAGTTTTATTGTGGTCTTTCCAGTCATTTAAAAAAAAAATTGAAAAAAAATCGAGTGAACTTTTGCATTTTTATCGAAAATTTTGAAGTTATGCTAAAAAATTATCCCAACAAAAGCTGTAAATTTTTGCTTAATCTGCAACTTTTGCATTATACATTTTTTTTTTTGACATCAACTTTCGCCGGAAATCGCGGTAATACCAGATTTCACCCTTCTTCAACCCCCTTAAACTTTACTTCAACCTCCCTGGTTGCATTTATATTTTTTTATTATTTTTTTTGTTTTTATTTTTATAAGCCATTTTACTATTTACACTTATCAAAGTCCTGTTAACGATTTTATTTTATTTACTTTTTTCATCTAAATCAGTTAATTTGACTGGTCTATTCAATGTGGAGCAAAATAGTAATATTGATAGGGATAAAGATGAAATAATATGCTCGAGTTTAAATTATTGCACTGTCCATTTACTTATTTCATAAACAACTTAGCCAATGCTAAGACGTGTGTTGAAAATTTTTGAATTATTTAATGTATTGTGATGAAACTTTGACTATGACAGTGAAAGAATTCTATATAATTTTATTTCCATATTTTTAGCAGTGACAGTCGATATATGATATAGAGTGATATAGAGTGATAGGAAGTAACTCACAAGATGTATATTTTTTATTTATGTTTCTGTTTTGATACCTAACTTTCACACTAATTATTTATCAAAATTATGAATATATATTTATTTTAAAAAATTTAATATTTTTTTTTAATATTAAGAGCATACAACCCTTTGATAAGTTCACAAAAAAAAATCAGTATACAGGGGGTCATAAAACGTTTATTACAAATGGGAAAAACATTCTTCTCAAATTATACTTAAGAAAAGTTCTTTATCATTTTGGAATTTCATAATTAAGTATAAAAAATCTGATGTGTCCAACACATGACTTTCCTATCTAGTTATTATAGGCTTTTTCCGGTTATTCTGTACAACCTATTGCAGCATCTCTATAAATGTTTAGAGGATAAACTAAATATATACATTGTCCACATACATCTACCTCGAAACATTTTTCTATAGATATTCATGGAAAACGAAAATACTGAAAAATTTAAATTTCCTACAATTTTTTCATTACGGTCCATTTTAGAAAAATTATGTATAAACAAAAATTATAGAGATCGATATCGCAAACAACTTTTATTTCAAAAACTTTCATAAAAATCAGAATTTTGCACATTTTGTCAAATTTCTCGAATACGGACCATTTCAGGAAATTTTTACATAATACAAAAATCTGATGTGTCCAACACATGACTTTCCTATCTAGTTATTATAGGCATTTTCCGGTTATTTTGTACAACCTATTGCAGCATCTCTATAAATGTTTAGAGGATAAACTAAATATATACATTTTACACATACGTCTACCTCGAAACATTTTTCTATAGATATTCATTGAAAACGAAAATACAGAAAAATTTAAATTTAGCACTTTTCCATTAGGGTCCATTTTAGAAAAATCATGTATAAACAAAAATTATAGAAATCGATATCGCAAACAACTTTTAATTTTCATAAAAATCAGAATTTTGCACATTTTGTCAAATTTCTCGAATACGGACCATTTCAGGAAATTTTGACATTAAACAAAAATTATAGATAATAATATTAGAAGTAACTTTTATTTGAACAATTTTCTTCTCCAAACATAAATAACAGATATATTCCATAAAATATAAAAACGGCCTCCCATAAAGTACCCCCCCAGATGTTCCGACTTTGTCCAAAATCTAATCATTTCACGTCAGGCCGAAATAAACCTTAAGTTTAAAATTTAATGTTTTTTCCTTTATCCGTTTTTGAGTTTTCTTCAAATTTCAAAATTTACATATTTTCTCAAATATCTCGAATACGGTCCATTTTAGAGAAATTATGTATAGGACAAAAATTATAGAGAATTATATTACAAACAACTTTTATTTAAACAATTTTTATAAAAAATTATGTTTTTACATTTTGTCAAATTTCTCGAATACGGACCATTTTAGGAAAATTTTGCATTAAACAAAAATTATAGATAATTATATTAGAAGTAACTTTTATTTAAAAAATTTTCTTCTCCAAACGTAAATAACAGATATATTCCATAAAATATAAAAATGACCACCTATAAAGTACCCCCCCAGATGTTCCGACACTGCCCAAAATCTAATCAGCTCATTGTACGCTGAAACAAAGCTTAAGTTTGAAATTTGGTGTTTTTCTGTGTATCGGTTCATGAGTTATGCGTTATACAGACACACACACAGACACACACACACACACACACACACACACACACACAGACATCATCGCGAAAATAGTCAAAACGTATTCAGGGGACCTCAAAACGTAAAAATCCGTCGAAAACTCGAGGTCGAAAAAAATCATGATTCCTATACTTTCCTTATATCTGTATACAGATAGGAAAGTAAAAAGGTTAAATGTTAAGTGGTATTTAGGGAAGATAAATTATCATGAATAGTAAATTTCTTTTAATTTCAATGTAGTGCAATATATTTATGCTGATAGGGAATAAAAAATATAAAAAAGGCAAATAATTTCAACTCAAATGTGACTAAGACGATAGAAATTTCTATCTCAGCTGTCTTTCCTTTGGATATAAGTCAATGCCTCTTGCGATAGTTATTTATTTTATTTTAAAAAATTTGTTCAAGTTCATATTATTGCCCTTGTTTTAAGGGGTTTTTATTTTCTTATTCAATAAATAATCCAACCAATGCGAAAGTAGGTAC